ATAACCCTCTTGGAGCAACCATTGATGATCAACCACCCAACTTACAGCTTGAGTTATGTGATCTTCAAGCAGACATGTACCTAATCACCAAACAAGAAAAGGGACCTGAATTTTTCAAATTACTGCCAAAGGAGAAATTCCCAAACCTGCGAGATTTTGGACTGAAAATGACGTCAATGTTCGGAAGCACATATACATGTGAAAGTGCCTTTTCCTCCATGAAATACATTAAAAACAAAAACAGAAGCAACCTAACCGATTTTTCCTTACTTCATCTTATGAGACTGTCTACAACTGAACTGGAGGTGGACATTTCCTCATTGGTGGATGAAGCCGATCGACCACAGTCCTCACACTAATTGATACATCTTTTTCGTTGCTTTTGCAATGTTTGTCTTCATTATTAAAAAGTGTTATCAATAAATTTTCCGTTTATCAAAAAATGTATTTGTTGAGCAATAAAAGAAATAATACTCTTTTTTGTTTTAATTATTTTTATACCTCACTTTATTTTGTTATTACTTGTTACAAAATTATTATATGGCCCGCGACAACATCAAAGGTTTTAGTTTTGGCCCTTGAGGCATTGCAAGTTGGACACCCCTGTTCCAGATCAATAAAAACCAAAAATGGTTTTTGTTGAATCGGCATATTTTAAAATTTTCAAAACTTTATTAATGGTGGAAAATGGTAGCTTATATCTTTCTTCCAGATCACATAATTGGTTTTATCTTCCAGTGCGAACCAAGAAAAGCAAGAAACTAAAGTGAGAAAAACTGGACCATATACGTGAATCAACGTCATGTTACATATTCAAACCAAAAAACACGTAATACATTATTTTTCTATTAGTTTATTTTCATTATAAGAGAACTAATGTGACTTGGCACATTTGATTCCAGCTGTACATATCAGAATTACGCGACAGACTGTGGCTGCTCATCTTTTTGAGGTTCAACTCAGTACACCTCGGATTTCACTGTTTATGAACTCTTCCACAAAGGAAAATCGAATCTCATTGTTTGAAATAAACAACAATACGACACATTAACAAAAATAGCCTGCCTAGTGCCGATAATCAAAATTTATACCCACCAAAAATCAAAATTTTAATTAAGTAATCATGTCGCTCACTGTTTCCACATAACGAAGGACTCAGTTTACAAATACACAAACAAAACACGGAAACCTTTTGATCTTTCCACCTGCCGACAGGACATTTCATNATCTCATATATCTCAATCTACAAAACAAGAAACAAGGCATCAGAACTTTTTATAGAGAATTTCATTAAAAAAAGAATAAGATAAGAACTAATTCATTATATCTTTCAGTATAATTCCAAAATTTTGAAAAATTATGAATTCAACAAAAAAAGTATAACTTTTTTTGTATAAGTATAGCAAAAATGCATTGAGCAAAACTTTTTTCATACTACATTGATAAATCCAGAGAATAAGTTCAATTTTGATACAGTAAAACTTTTTGCTTCTTAAATTTGTTTTGACTTTCCATAGGCTGTTCTTCACAATAAAATAAATATCAGCAGATAGGACACTCAAGCATGTAAAAATAATGAAGTAGAAGGGCATGAGCCATATATTTAGATGTTCAAACATCTGATTCAACTTGCAAGTGTATCTTCATTCATATTGACGAGTGTGATCCTGTCTTTTTTTCATCATCCAGCATTAAAACATATTGGTACATTTTATCAAGTAGTACAGAAAAAATATATAGAAACTGATAAGTATGCAAAGACTGCCATGAAAAGTATATTGCTTGAAAATATTATTGTAGCCCTAGTCACAGAACACTAGGCACACATCTAATTCAGATATAAATAAATTAATTCAATCCCACATTGAATGATTCATGTTCAAAGCAAAAATTGTTTCAACATTACAATTCCAACTTTATATCATTTTCAAAAATGTAGTTCAATAAATTCATATACTTTCTTCTGAAAAATAAATTTATTTTTGAAAAATTTTATAAGTAGAATATTTCCAATAAAATCATTTATGAAAATTGGGAAAAATTAATCGGTCATACAATTTTCCACGTTGATTCTACAATATATACAAGTAACACGGTACTGTAAGATTTTCACTGAACAATTCAGAAAACCACAACTTATGTTCCATTATATGACAGCTTCCTCAGGCATGTTCATACTAACTAAATTTAAGTTGAATTTAGTTAGTAATAATTTATGTTAGTATTCAGTTATATTTATAATGCTTTATATATCTTAAAAATTTGAATCATATGACCTTCTTCTTCCTACTTATTGACTAATAATTCAACCTATGTTTAGGTATAAACTATTTGAAAATGTTTAATCAATAAAAGAAAAATTTCACATACTCATTAAATTGGCATGTAATAAACTAATTTTCACATTAGAAAAGAAAAAAGATCCAATAGAGAGGAAGTATTCAATTCTATTTGGTCATTCAGTAAATTTTCAGAATTACTGAATCTATTAAATCTCAACCATTCCACATGATTTGAGTTTCAAATTTTTCTTTTCCAAAAGTAGCATGTCTTATTCGTGGTTGAACTCATTTCCCTCTGCCAAAAGATGGTTTAAAAATGTGGAAATTGGACTTTCCATTCAAGAAACTACTTCTATGTTCTTCAGTTCTTTGGGAAATTGTTCTTCCAGTTTGGCCAAGTACTTCTGATATATTCAACAATGAAGTTTTGTTTTCTTTGATTTTGATGAATTTGGTTCAAATTATTTTTTTGTAAGCCACGTCTAAGTCTTTCTTTTTCAAAAACGAACTATGTTATTGGTGGGTTCACTTCTAAAAATAATAATAATAAACATGATTTTGCAATTTTTTACAAACCATCTAATGAGGACCTTCTCAAATATAAATCCTTGACACATCCCTATGAACCATAAGTAGCGGCATTCTGTTTTTTCGGTAATCAGCTGTCGCCCCCATACGAACGACAACTCTCAGAAGTTGAGAAACTTGTGCGAGTCAACACCAAATCGTTATTTTTAACACAAGAGGAAGATTAAACTTCCTCTTGAAGATGATCACTTGGTGATCGAAACACGTGTCGAGGTGTTAAAAATAACGATTTGGTGTCGGAGGAAAAAACTCCAGTAATATTCATTACTACACCAAACAGTGCATCATAAGTCAATACATCATGTTTATGAGAATTTGCAACACTACCTAGAAATCTTTCTATTCCACCTTTGTTGATGAGTGGGTGGCTAGAAAACCGTGGATAACTTCACGTAAATAAATGCAGGTTTTTTTGTGTTTACTATTAGATCATATTAGATATTGAACAATGTCGTGTCCAATCTTATAATAATGAGTCCAATATGGCCGGCATCTATAAAGGAGTACAACCAGGATCGCAGAAAGGAATGAGCTGGCCGAGTTCGTGCCGTGCTTGGCACTTGTAGGTGTTCTGATATGAACTTTTTGGTATGTCTATCAACTCTCACACGCCGTTCTTTCATGGGTCTCTTCAATCTTGAGAACAGGAAAAATCACAGAGGCCAAATCTGGAGAATACGGTGGCTGAATCATGATTACGGTGTTGTCTTTGGCCAAAAAATTAAGAAGAGGCAATGGCGAGTGAACAGATGCAAAAGCCGTAGGTTTTCTTCGTATTGCCATTGACGTCATTCAACAATTGCTGAGTTTTTTGGTAAAAGTTTGACAATTTTGGAACGAATTTCGCTGCCACACGCTTCATGCCCAAAATTTCCGAAGAAATTGCATGGCATGACATCGCCAGCAACTTGTCTTATAGTAATTAGACGAATCTCCATAGCAATTTGTAAATATTTTTCTTACTCACATTACAATCACCGTATGCCATTGTCAACATTTCCAAGTGTTTTTGAGCACTTACATCCATTTGTTACACAAAATTTTATGCAAAATTTTTTTAAGCTTTTTTTAATACCTAGCATAAAATCGCCGAACGTGCAAAACATTTCTAACTTTCACGCCTCACACCAAAAAACTTGACATGGTGAACAGTGAAACTGTGAACATATGTTCAAAAGGAGCCAATCAACATAATAAATGAAAAAATCGCGAATTGAATATACTAGCCCGCGAAATTTGAACATTCTTTCAACTGATCTCATATATCTCAATCTACAAAACAAGAAACAAGGCATCAGAACTTTTTATAGAGAATTTCATTAAAAAAAGAATAAGATAAGAACTAATTCATTATATCTTTCAGTATAATTCCAAAATTTTGAAAAATTATGAATTCAACAAAAAAAGTATAACTTTTTTTGTATAAGTATAGCAAAAATGCATTGAGCAAAACTTTTTTCATACTACATTGATAAATCCAGAGAATAAGTTCAATTTTGATACAGTAAAACTTTTTGCTTCTTAAATTTGTTTTGACTTTCCATAGGCTGTTCTTCACAATAAAATAAATATCAGCAGATAGGACACTCAAGCATGTAAAAATAATGAAGTAGAAGGGCATGAGCCATATATTTAGATGTTCAAACATCTGATTCAACTTGCAAGTGTATCTTCATTCATATTGACGAGTGTGATCCTGTCTTTTTTTCATCATCCAGCATTAAAACATATTGGTACATTTTATCAAGTAGTACAGAAAAAATATATAGAAACTGATAAGTATGCAAAGACTGCCATGAAAAGTATATTGCTTGAAAATATTATTGTAGCCCTAGTCAAAGAACACTAGGCACACATCCAATTCAGATATAAATAAATTAATTCAATCCCACATTGAATGATTCATGTTCAAAGCAAAAATTGTTTCAACATTACAATTCCAACTTTATATCATTTTCAAAAATGTAGTTCAATAAATTCATATACTTTCTTCTACTATGAACCATAAGTAGCGGCATTCTGTTTTTTCGGTAATCAGCTGTCGCCCCCATACGAACGACAACTCTCAGAAGTTGAGAAACTTGTGCGAGCTAAGGATTATCGAGGTCTTACCTTTTAACGTGTGATTCCTAACACAGTTGCAGAATCATTCCAGCTTCAACCAGATAAATTCTCTCGAGAAAAATATCTGGTCGAGGCGGGAATCTGATTCAGATACTATCGAATATTGTACTGAAAGTAATTTTCAGAGATCACCGAGTTTCATCATATGTGGTGGAATTTGCAGATAAAATTCATAAGGTATTCAGGTTACACTTTATTGTGAAACTTTCACTGGGCATTTTACATAATAAGTGTTTTGCATTCTCATATGAAAACACTTGAGAACGAAATTTATAGCAAAACCATGCTGCAGTTTTGTGAACTATCCAGTGAAAATCAAGGTACATATTATTGACCCGTTTACCAGCTCTATCCCTCTTCAAGAAAAGATAGCAAACATCACAGGACATCGACATACTTTAGAGAACCCACCAATAAAATCGGTCATTTTTAGAAAAAGGAATATTTGGGTGTGGTTTACAAAACAAATAATTTATTAAATACAATATAAACCAAACTTAAGTGTTGGATAGATCCAGAGTATATAAATTGACTTGCGGTTGTTACCGAAAACTCTACATTGCCCAAAGGGAAGATTCTTTTCCCAAAGAATACAGATGCATAGCAGTTTCATTAATGTGAAGGCCAATTCCACACTTGACAACCATCTTTTGGCAGAGGGGAGTGAGTTCAAGCACGATTATGTCATGTTACATTTGGAAGAGAATGCTTGAGAATTGATAGATTCAAGAATTATGAAAATTCAGTGAAGAACCAAATAGTAGAATTCAGTTAGTGTATATAGCCTGAGGAAGCTAGTGTATAGTAAGGCATAGTTAACGATTTTGTAAACTGTTCAGTGACAATCTCACAATAAAGTTACTTGAATTAGTTATGGGTTTTCAACAAGTATATATGATGGTAAATTTAGAACAAAAACATATTCGCAAAGTCTAATTATGATAAATTTTAGTCTCAAACATTAATATTTTCTTGAAAGTTTTCGAAATATCCAGATGGTTTATCACTGTATAGTATTGACAAGCAGTGGTGATTTTCAATCTTTCGACAATATGATCTCTTGTCTTATCTCTAGCCAATTCAAGTAATGAAGGCATTTTTGGTAAGTGTTCAACAATATGTGAAAACTCATCTTCATCCGAATTTCTGAATTCAAGATGTTTTATAGTGTTATAGAGCTCTACCAGAGGAGGATAAACCCAGTAGCTGAATGACCTAATTATATCTCCTCTAAGCAAACATAAATTTGTCGAAATATTATAAGAAGACGTAACATCATAGCATACCTTTTTCACACTACTTTTTATATCAAAAATTAACCTTGTAGTAATCATAAGAGGAGACCATTCACTAACATAGTCGATAAATAGTAATAATTTGATTAGTTCACAGTATTCATATTTTGAGTAAATCGTGTCAATAACTAAGATATCCATTTTGTAACCATGTTGAAGCATAATAAATGTAAATTTTGTTAGTTTATCTAGGACAGATTTACATTTTGAGTATTTATCGACTATCAAAGCCATATCACAACTCTTAATATTTTCTGCAATCACCGACAGTATCAAAGGGTCTGAATCTTCCATAATAACATCCATGTAATAACAAAAATGATTCTCATCCAGAATGTTGGCCAACTCCACCAGAGTAACATATTTTGCTTCTTGGGGAGGCAGTTTATTCCATACAATTTTAAAATTTTCAGGATTTGGTGCCCTCAGGCAATTCGTGTAAGCTGATAAGTCAACTTTGGCTCCTCTCTTAATTATTTCTTCAACAAAAATATTATCGTGGGTCAGGGCCAGATCTAACGTACTTACCCCATCTTCAGTTAAAATATTAAATTCATTCACATATTCAAATAAAGCTTCTTGCAAAGCATAACCTTCTTGGATGAGAGCTTTCATAAATGGGGTTAGGTTGAAGTTTCCCTGAATATTAGCATCTGCATTATAGAATAAAAGCATGCATACAGTTTCCAAATGACAGACATCTACAGCATCATGTAAGGGAGTATCACCGGTATAATCTGAACTATCCACTTTAGCCCCATTTGTAATCAATAATTGGGTGATGTTTGGAAACTGAACAGAAATATGAAGTGGTGTTACATCTTCATAAGTTGGTAGATTCACATCGGCTCCATTTTTAACAAGACACTGTGCCAACTCAAAACTGCCACTTTTCACGGCAAGAAACAGAGGTGTCTGTCCTTGAAAGTTCCTGGGATTTATGACTGTGTCTTCTTCAGCAAGGAGAAAGTTTATAATACTTAAACTGAAAATATATTAACATTAGGAACTGATGGAAATATATTTGGATTCCCTGATGCCTACTTTTTCTTTATCACAGCTACATGGAGTGGCGTATTTCCATGATTGTCATTGATGTTGACAGAGTGTCCAAATGCTATTAACTCCTTAATTTTCTCCAAATCTTCCATCACAACTGACCTTAAGACACCTGATACCAGAAATGGATCATTGTATTGAAATATCCGAGTTCCATAATAAATGTCGTTCTTGTAAAAAATAAAATACACTAAAGGTGACTAGGAAAAATGTTTCTCAAAACATAAGATATATGAAAAACGGTTTTTTATACATACCTCAATAGGAAAAAGTTCTTCATCTTCATCTGAATCCATATTTTCTTAGACCTACGTTATACTACAGGCCTACCCCTCTATAATTTATAACAATTATATTTTTAAAGGTGATTCAATAGAGTTATAAGTTCTATAAAATAAATTGAAACTATCCCAAACATGGTATCATAGGTAGTGATAATCATGGATCATAGTGATTACGAATTTAAAATAATCGATAATTCGATTATCATAATTCAAGATATGTAATTAATAGACCATATTAGTTAGGTTAGGATTTTTTCGAGCACGAAATTCGAACTCAGGTCCATCACGGAAACCTGTCATTTAATTTCCCATGTAAATCTTATGGGACTAAAAATTCTTCGACTTTGTCGCCTTTTTTCAGATATTCAATCTTATTCCTTAGAACTGATTTTACATAAAAAAAGATGAAATGGAGTTTCTTTCACCTGTTTGATACAAAATAATTGAAAAATATGGATAATTTTCTATGAATTTGTCAATATAAAAATGCATTGCAAAATTCATGGAACGCATGTCTTAGATTGAAGAGTGGTATATTACTGGTGGGGCAACAAAGTTAGCGGGATATTTAAAATTCACGTGTTAATACCTACAATGTTGATCTTGAAAAATGTTATTTCGAAAATCTGAAAATGGTGTATTGTTTTGCTCCTGGATGTAACCATAGGTATCCAAGCAATTGCAACAAGTTTGCAATTCCAAGGAATGAAAAATAAACAAAAATATATAAAAATACTAATAACTCTCATGAAGTTGAGAATGAATTTTCCCCACTTAGATCTTGCCATTCGATTTAATTGCAGCCCAACAACTATTGCAAATATTTTTTTACTTGGGTTCTCCTTATACATAAAACACTTTACAGTTAGTTCATTACGAAACTCCCATCGAGATGTAAAATCATATCAAGTCTCCCTAATTCTTTCTCATCATTTACCAAGTACAGGCTTATAATTGACTGTACAGAGGTAACAATTACAAATCCAAAGGATATAAACATGAAGAAACAAACTTACAGCAATTATAAGCATGCAAATACTTATAAAGTATTGGTGGGAGTTACCCCAAATGGCGTTATAGCATTTGTAAGTAACATGTTTCCTGGTTCAACGTCAAACAAGCAAGTATTTTTGATGAGTGAATTGAATAATCATTTAGAACCAGGATGTTTTAAAGCCTGGAGTGACGATTAATGTGCCTACATTTCTAATGAGTAATCAGTTCACTGAAAGTGAATCCATGAGGACATTAGAGATAGCAAGAGCCAGAAGTCATGTAGAGCGGACAAATGCAAACATTTTAGAATTTTTAATTTAATTCCTGGTTCAATGAAGAATTCTCTCCTCTGCAATATTTCAAGTTTTCTTTCTCTTGTCCTACACGATATAGTTTGAGTAATTCATATTTGTTACGTGTATTGAAATGAAAGGTGATTTAATTTGGGTTTTTCATATAACTATTTTTCAACTTTTTTTCTCTGAGTCAATATAAAGAGAATACAAACTTTCTATGCTTTGGCGTTGAAATAAATTGAGCTGAACAATTTCACTGCTATAATATCAACTTGTTACATACTTCTTGCATATGAATTAATTTAGGATTATTTCACAATATATCTGATTTGAATTTTAATATAAAAATCAGCAAATCAATTAATTACATGTTTTCTCATTCATCTCAGAATACAAAACAAGCAGTAACTGCATCAAGTAAATGAAAAGCAAATGTGCTGTAGCTATATTGATATTTACAAATTGTCCTAGTTAATGTTTTTCTGTGATAATATGACTGTGTTGGCTGGAAGATTTATTGGTATTCACCAATAAAGTAATTGCATTATTATAATTATTACGACTGTAATAAATATGACTGTAAAGAATGATATACTTTTAGTATAAAGAAACATCACATTTTCCAATATCAGTAAACAATGTCAAAATTCATTTACATATATTAAAATATAATAAATACAATACAACATGAGCTTATATAAGTGAGATATTCATTCATAAAACTAGGTGACAATAGTCTCTTCCAGTAATGTGTAGCTGCCCCTGAATTTGATGATAATAATTATGATCTTTATTGGCAATATATTCACCATTTTCACTGAATAAAATGTCACTTTTCTTCCAATTTTCTGCCAAGGCGGAGTTCCTCAAGGTATATGAACACTTGACTTCAATTATTCCGTCTGAAAAAAACAGTCCATTTGGAGAGGCGCCCAAAAATCCACAAGTATGTAGCCATAGTCCTGTTCGCACGACCTTGGTTCCTGTTAGTTTTTCAAAAGCTTGAATTCCATTAATTTCATTCTGGCGTACCCATTGAATTTGTTTCACCCTTTCCAAGTCATGGCTTCCTGAAAATAAAATTCTGTAAGTTTGCTAATCAACATATGGAAAAAAATGCCAATTTTTTTTTCGAAAATACTTTCATTGAAATAAATCATTTGATGTACAATATATACAATATATACATTAATAATAAATTTTACAAATAGTCTCTGTTGACATACATATCATGTATATCATTCAGAAACGCTTGATTCTGTGCCATTAGCCCTTAAAGTTATTAAACGCACCCCGTATACCTGGTTGCATAAAAACACTAAATGAATAAATAAAAAATAAACAAGTAAGGAAATGAAATGTAAACAATTTCAATATAAATATCACTGTCTACGTAGATTGTAAATTCAAAATATTAGTTGGTGTTGAAGTCAAATTATAAGAATTCGTCGATACTATAAAAAACGTTTTCCAGGCAGATATTCTTCATATAATTTGTAAACGAGGCTGTATTCTGGTATGGCTCTATGGTAATTTATTAAAAAAAATAGGACCATAATAATTTTTCGAAAAACGGCAGTGATTTGGTCTTGTGAATTCAATTTTAATGTGTTGTGATTATCTGGTGTTATGTGAATGAAAATCGTTTTGATTTAGATATAAATGAGGATGGTTTTTTTTACATAATTTAGACACGAATAGACGTAAAGAGAAGGTAATGTAAACATTTGATTATTGAAAAATGTTGTTTTAACGTCTTCTTGATAACCCAGTTTGAAGATAACTCGCATAACTTTTCTTTGCAGTCCAAACACTCTTTTTGCATGAGGCGAGTGCCCCCAGAATACTAGGCCATGAGACATATGGGACAAAAAGTGAATGATAAGCAGTGATAATGGTTTCAATAGATGAAATGCAGATGCCCATTAAACTTCTTATAATACAAATGCTCGTTGTCAATGTTTTGTAAATAAAATCGACATGTTTTTCCCAAGAAAGCTTTGGATCCATTTGGAATCCAAGAAATTCAATCGATTCATTTTGGTCTATAGGCAGTTGTTTGTGTGTAAAAAAGTAAAGTTGCGTTTTAAGTATTCAATTTTAATACCTAGCATACTGGATTCCCTTATATACAACTAAGGAACTAAGAAAGGACGGCCGACTGGAAATCATCACATCTTAATTACACTAACCAATTCGTGATCAGGCTATATATAGATGTTGGTCCAGATCGTAAGCATTCGTATGAAAGCATTCATTCACATTGGATTTGTATTGGTATCCGCTCCAACAGATAAAGTGCATGAGGAAGTGTAAGTAAACAAATATAAAATAGGCAGGTCAAACATTTTTATGTTGAACAATTTTATGGACGTAGTATTTACATACTTACTCAGGTTACACTACTTCCAACGATTCAATTATGTTTTTATCTGATCAATACTTTAGATTGCTGAGGAGAGTGGTGTGTTGACTGCTACCTAGGACCTTCCGAATAATTTTTTAAGTTTTTGGTACACAATCTACAACATTATCATCTTTTTGTTTCAATAAAACCGTTTAAAACATTTTTTTATTTATTTTCAAGTTTTTAGTTTCTAATTTTGTTACTCAATTCTTCTCATTCTGATAAGTTCATTAAATGCCTCACTATCACAAAGTAATATAAAATTCGCCATTTTATAGCTGCGGCTATCTTGATTTTGCATCTTTTTCAAAGTGACCTACTATTCTACTAGTCAAGCCCTGTCATTTGATACTCATATTGAAGATGATCACTTGGTGATCGAAACACGTGTCGAGGTGTTAAAATAACGATTTGGTGTTGGAATGTCAGTATTTAATGTGAAAATCAACTGAATTGGGTAGTTAGCAGTCGCTGACAGCCAGCGGTCGGGTCAAGTCGGCATGTACACCAAAATCAAATTCAATTAAAAATCTGGCTGGTTTGTCAGCGAATGCTACTCAGTTCTGTTGGTAATTAAATTGAATACTGACATCGTACTGCAATCGCCCTCTGGTGGTCAGTTAAGTACTAAAAAATTTACATGACAGGAAAATGCCACTTCTCAATACAGTTAGGGTTAATGAATAAAAAAACTTATATTTCAGTCAATTACGAGATTTTTACATGAAAAGTATACAAAACTGGAATTCATTATATTGGCAACCATTGGTTCATAGTCATGTAAAAAAGGAATAAGACCTAATGATAGTTCGAACTGGTTGTTGGTTCTGGGGTGATCGGAAATCCTGGAGTCAATTCTTCCTTGTTGGCAATCCTGCCGAGTTGGCAGCACTAATTGACCTTGCCACAGACACCTTGCTTCTAATGGGCTGGCTTCAAGCTTCAACGCCTGCTAACAGAGTTTTCCTATTACCTGGATTTTTACCACCGATTCCTAGAATTTAGTTTTCGAAATCTTCGCCTGGAAATTTACCTCTGGTTCATATTTTGAACGAGTCTGCCTTCAAAAAAAAGAAAGTAGCTGTTCAGTTAGGCTTTAAGAGGATCCTCTGGTTCGGATTTTTACGGTCTCGTGATTTTATCACGCTAGTTGCTCTCACGGTATTGCTAATAACAAAGTTTTCGTTGAAAAATGGAAAAATGTAGATAAAACTTCAAGATCCTGTGCCATTACTTTCAATGAAACATTTCTTTCGAACTGCGATGAAATTGCCTGTCATGAAATTAATATCTGTGTGTCCTTATTCAAATTATTTTTTATATTGATATATTCAGCTTAGAATATTTAAGAAAATAATCAAATTGAATGATTTGATACCATTAACACAAAGAAATTATTATCAAAGAGAAATCTCACAAAACTCGGGAAATTTTGCAAGCTTGTGGAAAGTTGTAAATTAAATTACTGAAACAAAATCAAATGAGCATGCAATTTTTTTTCTTGGTGTCATTGGCATCGACTACATTGGTCTGGGTACGCAATGTTAATAACTTCCCGAGCCACCTAGGGAGCATCATGGCTATTTCCAGTCCGTCAGCCAAGTAACGTTGCAGAACTATTCCAACTTCAACTAGATAAAGATAAATTACCTCGAGAAAAATATCTGGTGGAGGTTGGGATCGAACTCACTACCTACGACGGGCGCACTATACCACTGCGCCAATTCACCTCATGCAATTACTGAAATACCCAATATCAACTGTTACAAATCAATTTTTGAACCTTGCAAACCTTTTTTTTTTACTTTTCGAAATCGAATGCTGAGTTTCCTGAACAAATTTGAAATTCCCTCGAATAAGCAACATTGAAAATAAATCAGCTGAAGATGCTATTGCAAATGTCATCGCTAACGTAAATAATGAGTTAATGAAAACATTTCTGTGATGGATATTTACGTTGACCTCTGTGAAGCTTTCGACAATGTGTCACGATAAGTTAATGGATATATTGAAGAGCATTGGTTTTAGAAGAACCACATCCAAATTTTTCAATGGTATCAACTCAGATAGTTATTTTTGGTGTTCGACATTTATTTAAATGGGATATTTACAATCAGCACGTCTCCAACCACTCCACAAACTTATCGCCGTGATCCAAGGCTTCATGTCGACTGAGATGATTTTCATACTCCATTAGATTTTTTTCAGCGTTGGTAACATCCAAATCTTCTTTCAGATGATCAGCTGCAGAACACGGCGGAAAGCTGTTTTGCATCTGATTTTTATTACAGTGACAATACACTCTTAAATTTTTTTAACCACCGTCGGGATTGCAGGAAAAAAATTATCAATTTTCTCGTGCTACAAAAACTAGCAAAACTAAAGCTCTGCCACGAACACCAACGCGTCGGGACGATAGAAAAAAATATATTTTCTTCTACTATAAAAAACTCAACAACGACGAGGCGGGCGTCCAAAACGATTCAATGAGTATTCTGATTATTATTTCCCATTGTCTTTCCTTCACTAATTTTTGTTTCGTGGCGCCCTCATTATTGAAGTTTTTATAGTACAAGCAGCACAAAGATTTAACAGGGTTTATAAAGACACTTAGAAGATGTAGGTGTTTGATTTTCATCAATAGTGTAGATTTCGTGTATTCTCAATTTAGTTGTTCTGGGAAGACCATTAGAGTTGACACGCTTTTTAACATGAGCTTCTACCAATTGATATCCAAGATCTTCTATAAATGATCTTCTTGTAATCGGAGGTTTATCTTTATTATTATTATTTTGGTGTATTATATAGGAGTTAGTAGAAGCTATGTTCAAGGCACCATACAAAATTACTATAGGCCAACGCCGTGTATTTCTTGCACAATCGTAAGCTGCACATAATTTGTCAACGGTGTCCACTCCACCTTTTGTACGATTGTAGTCAATTATAATTTGTGGCCTATTTGTTTCACTATCAAGCGAATCATCTTCCCTGTGCCAGTTCGAGAGGAGAATTACATCTTTATTTTTTTTTCGGAATGTACGACAGTAGGGTACACTTTTCTTGATATCCGAATATAGTTGTTCCTCCAGGTCTCTTCATTTTCATTTCGTTAGGAATTTGTGGTTTGTTTTTTCTCAGTGTACCTGTAACTGTCAGCCCATAATCATTCAATAGTTTATAAACTAAGGCAGGAGAACTAAAAAAATTGTCCATAGTAACATTACGGTGTGAGCCCCATATGGGTTGGCATAACCTTGGCACTAGTGAAATATTGGATGTATCTAAACTATATGGACCCACTGATTGTGTACCACAATAGATCTCCATTTTAGCAGTGTAAAACATTTTTGCGTCTACTAAAGAATAAACTTTCAACCCATGACATGGGTTGACATGGAATATAGACTCTGAATCCACAGCGACCTCTAAATGACCACAACATTTCATCCACAGTTACATACTTCGACAGCGAGAAATATTTGGGCAACTTTTCATTTAGTTCATCAAAAAATTCTCTTACTGCTGCTAGTGTATCTAATTTTACCTTCTCTGTTCTTGTAGTAACATCGTCCATTCGGATATTTTGCAGCAAAAACTTGAACCTTTCAAGGGACATTGTCAATCCGAAAATCTCTATTCCCATGCCATTGGATCTGAACAGATCGCGTATATTTTGGCGACTACTTTTTGATTTTCCAGAAATATAAAGCAGCCCAAGTAGGGCTTTCAGTTCATCAATATCAGTGAGTCTGGCTGTTCTATATTCCTTAGAATATTGTTTCCTTTCTATTTGTCTGTTAGTGTGGACGACAATTCTTTCTAACATGGTGTCAGTGATAAATAAACTCCATATTTCAATTGCATTTTTTTTCTCTTTTGCTAAACCTTTTACTCCTGGTAACCTTGTTATAATATTATCTGACCGTGTTCTTACATCTGGATATCTGGTAAAATGTTTTCTCCATCTGGTGCCATCTTTGGAAATGAAACAAGGGATACGAACAGACCTGTTGGTTTCAGGTTCTGCAGCATCTTCTTCAATATCATCGTCGGACATTTCTTGCTCGGTATCCGAGTTTTCCTCCTAAACCAATAACTCATCCTCTTCTAGGCTACCGTCCCTGTCTTCAGATAATTCTATATCGCTATCTACCTCTTCAAAGAGCTGTTGAAATCTTCTGACTTCTTCCTCGTAACACCATGAAGACATGTTTATCTGAAACCATTAACCAACTATTAAAAAAATATAACATTTCCAAGAAAAAAAATTTTATCTTACCACTTTACTAAATCAAAACAGTTACGGGACGACTAACATCGTTCTTCGAGACGAATCACGTAAAATCTCAAATGAGGAAAACAGTCACAACATCCACCTATGACGCTTCAGCAGACACTGGTCAGTTAGGAAGGTACTGAGAAGGGCAAAATTGTAACGCTGGCAATCGGGCCGTATTCGGAATAATTCGTAATCGTCGGTCTCAGAGAGGTACTGTTAGTCCCGGAAGGTTAACATATTTCGAAACATAAAAAGTGTTAGAATTTCTACTAAGAATTATAAAACAATTCCATCCCTATATTCTAGAATCAAAACCGCTGAGCGATGCTTTTTTCTTCGAAATTCGGCAATTTTGGAACGGACTTTGCTGCCACACACTTCGTGCTAAAAATTGCAAGGCATGAGCCAACCGTTATGCTGACACAATCAGTATCTTTCCTAAATAGTGGCTGGGTAGGCCAGGACGAGCATCGTCATTCAAATCTTCTCGACCTTCTGTGAAAAGAAAAGCTTGTAAACATTTTTCAGACTCGGAGTACAATCACCGAATGCCACTGTCAATATTTCAAGAATTTTTGAGCACATAGATCCATTTTTTACATAAAATTTGATGCAAATAATTACCGAACACGCAAAACACTTCCAACTTTTATGCGTATCACCAACAAACTAAACATGCTAACTAAACAGTGAACAAATGTTCGAATCGAGCCTAGCAACATAAAAAATCAAAAAATATGCCAATTGAATATACCTAGCCCGCAAAATTCGAAAATTCTTTGAACTGACCTATATATTTCAATCTAAAAAAAAAGGCATCACAAGTTTTTATAGAGAACTTCATTAAAAAAAGAATAAGGTAAGAACTCATTCATTGTATCTTTCAGTATAATTCTAAAATTTTGAGAAATTGTGAATTCAACAAAAAGAGCATAACTTTTTACGCATATAGCAAAAATGCAATGAGCAAAACTTTTATCATACTACATTGATAAGTCCAGAGAAAAAGTTCAATTTTGTTACAGTAAAATTTTTAATAAATTGATGAATGTAGCCATTACTACGTGGTAGGAGATCATAATGAAAAGAGAAATCAAAATTTCTATGTTTTTTACCTCTTTTATTTGTAACTAACATTACTGCAGTTTCGTCCTATATGGACATTCTCAAACTTATACAATAAAGTATAAGTTTGAGAATGTCCATATAGGACAAAACAGCAATAACGTTAGTTACACATAAAACTGGTAAATAATTTACATTTCTCTTTTCAGTAAAATTTTTACTTCTTGAATTTATTTTGATTCTCTATAGGCTGTTCTTCAGAATAGTATCAATATCAGCAGATAGGACACACAAGCAAGTGTATCTTCTTTCATATTGACAAGTGTGATCCTGTCTTTTTTTCATCATTCAGCATAAAACATACTGTTACATTTTATCAAGTGATACAGAAAAAAAATATAGAAAATGATAAGTACGTGAAGACTGCCACGAAAAGTATATTGCTTTAAAACATTATTGTAGCCCCATTCAAAGAACACCAGGCACATATCAAATTCAGATATGAATAAATTATTCAATCCCACATTGAATGATTCATGTTCATTTTTAAGACAAAGCCAAAATTGTATCAACGTTACAATTCCAACTGCATATAATTTTCAAAAATGTAGTTCAATAAATTCACATACTTTCTTTTGAAAATTAATTTATTTTTGAAAAATTTTATAAGTAGAATATTTCCAATGAATTCATTTATGAAAATTGGGAAAAAATTAATCGATCATACAATTTTCCAGATTGACTCTACAATATATACAAGTAACACGTTACTGTAGGATTTTCACTAAACAATTCAGAAAACCACAACTTATGTTCCATTATATGATAGCTTCCTCAGGCATGTTCATACTCACTAAATTTGAGTAGAATTTAGTTAGTAATTTATGTTAGTATTCAGTTATATTTATAGTGCTTTATAAAATATCAAAATTTGAATCATATGACCCTCTTCTTCCTACTCAATGATTAATGCTTTAACCTGTGTTTTGGTATAAACTGATTGGAAATTTTTTATCATTAGAAGAGAAATTTTACAAACTCATTAAATTGGCATGTAATGAATTAATTAACAATTTCCACATTAGAAAAAAGATTTAATAGAGAGGAAGTATTCACTTTCATTTGGTTATTCAGTAAACTTTTAGAATTCCTGGATCTATTAAATCCCAAGCACTCCAAATGATTGACTTTCAAACATTTCTTTTCCAAATGTAACATGCCATCGTGATTGAACTCATTTTCCTGTACCAAAAGATGGTTAACACATGTGGAATTGGACTTTCCATTCAAGAAACTACTTCTATGCTCTTCAATTCTTTGGGAAATTGTTCTCCCAGTTTAGCCAATATAAAGTTCTGGGCAGGAACCACATGTCATGTCATATACTTCTAATCTATTCAACACTGAAGTTTTGCTTTTATTGATTTTGATGAATTTGGTTTAATTTTTTTAAACGAACTGTTATTGGTGGGTTCACTACTGAAAATAATAATGAACATGGTTTGCAATTTTTCACAAACCATCTTATGAGGACATTGTCATACAAAAATCCTTGGCACTTCCCTATCAGCAACAGGTAGCAGCATTCAATATTGTGCTTCACATCACAGGACATTGACATACTTTGGTGAGCCCACCAATTACATCACTCTTTTTTGAAAAAGGAATATTTGGACGTGGTTTACAGAACGAATAATTTATTAAAAACAATATAGACAAAACTTAAGTGTCGGATAGATCCAGAGTATGAGTTAACTTGTGGTTGTTGCCAAAAATTCTACATTGCCCAAAGGTAAGATTATTTTCCCAAGGAATAAGGGTGCATAGTAGTTTCTTGAATGTGAAGGCCAGTTCCACACTTGCAAACCATCTTTTGGTAAAGGGAAGTGAGTTCAACCACGACTATGACATGTTACATTTGAAAGAGAATGCTTGGGAATTGTTAGATTCAAGAATTATGAAAATTCACCGCAGGACCAAATAATTGAATTCAGTTAGTGTATACATGCCTGAGGAAGCTACAGTATGGTAAGGCATAGTTTGTGATTTTGTGAACTGTTCAGAGAAAATTGAATTAGTTATGGGTTTTCATCAAATTTATATGACGGTAGATTCGGAGCAAAAACATATTTGCAAAGTCTAATTATTATAAATTTTAGTCTCAAACATTAATATTTTCTTGAAAATTGTTGAAATATCTAGGTGGTTTATCACTGTATAGTATTGACAAGTAGTGGTGATTTTCAATCTTTCAACAATATGCTCTCTTGTCTTATCTCTAGCCAATTCAAGTAATGAAGGCATTTTTGGTAAGTGCTCAATAATATGTGAAAACTTATCTTCATCATCTGAATTTCTGAATTCAACATGTTTTAAAGTGTAATACAGCTCTACCAGAGGAGGATAAACCCAGTAGCTGAATGACTTAATTATATCTTCTCTAAGGAAACATAAATTAGTCAAAGCAAGAGTAGATTTAACATCACAGCATACCTTTTTCACACTACTTTTTATATCAAAAATTAACCTTGAAGTAATTATAGGAGGACACCATTCATTAACATAGTCGATAAATAGTAATAATTTGATCAGTTCACAGTATTCATATTTAAAGAAAATTGTGTCAATAACTGAGCTATCCATTTTGTAACCATGTTGAAGCAAAATGAATATAAATTTCATTAGTTTATCTAGGGCAGATTTACATTTTGAGTATTTACCGACTATCAAAGCCATTTCACAATCGTTAATTTTTTTTGCAATCACCACCAGTGTCAAAGGGTCTGAATCTTCCATAATAACATCCATGTAATAACAAAAATTATTTTCATCCAGCAAATGGACCAACTCCATCAGATTAACATGTTTTGCTTTTTGAGGAGGCAGTTTATTCCATACGATTTTAAAATTATCAGGATTTGGTTGCCACAAGGAATACTTGTAGGCTGATAAGTTGACTCTGGCTCCTCGCTTAATTATTTCTTCAACAAAAATACTTTTGTGGGTCAGGGCCAGATCTAAAGTATGTTCTTCATCTTCAGTTGATATATTAAAATCATTCACATATTCAAGTAAAACTTCCTGCAAAGCATAATCTTCTTGGAGGAGAGCTATCATAAATGGGGTTAAGTTGAAGTTACCCTGAATATTAGCATCTGCATTATAGAATAAAAGCATGCATACAGTTTCCAAATGACAGATATCTACAGCTCTATGTAAGGGAGTATCACCAGTATAATCTGAAGGATCCACTTCAGCCCCATTTGTAATTAGTAATTGGGCGATGTTTGGAAATTGAACAGAAACATGAAGTGGTGTTACATCTTGATAAGTTGGTATATTCACATCGGCTCCATTTTTAACAAGACACTGTGCCAACTCAAAACTGCCAATTTCCACGGCAATAAACAGAGGTGTCTCTCCATGAAAGTTCCTGATATTTATGACTATGTCTTCTTCAGCAAGGAGAAAATTTATAATACTTAAACTGAAAATATAATAACATTAGGAACTGAAGAAAATATATTTGGATTCCCTGATGCCTACTTTTTCTTCATCACAGCTATATGGAGTGGCGTATTTCCATGATTGTCATTGATGTTGACAGAGTGTCCAAATGCTAATAAATCCTTAATTTTATCCAAGTCTTCCATCACAACCGACCTTAAGACACCTGATACTAGATATGGATCATTGTATTGAAATATCTGACCGTTCTGTTAAAAAATAAAGAATAAAATACAATAAAGGTGACTATGAATAAAGTTTCTGGAAACATCAGATATATAAACTGTTTTTTATACATACCTCAATGGGAAAAACTTCATCTTCATCTGAATCCATGTTTTCTTAGAGCTACGTTATAATACAGGCCTACCTACCCCTCTATAAAATATAACAATTAAATTTTTTAAAGGTGATTCAATAGAGTGGTAAGTTATATAAAATAAATTCAAATAACATTTCTCAAACATGGTATCATAGGTAGTGATGGACTAATTCGAATTTCGAATTAAAAATAATCGATAATTCGATTGTCATAATAGAGATATCGAATCGATTATCATGATAATTCGAATTATTCATCTTCTTTTAATTTAGTTATATGGTCGATGCTCATTGCATCATGCAGACGCATTTGACCATAGTTTGAATTAATTTGACATCATTTAATTTAATTTGTATTGCAGAATTCAAACATACACATTGAGCTTTTCTCGATTGTTTGTACCAGAAACACAACTGTTATATACTGCCATTTGTTGGCACTTCGCGATGTCATTTGATCGAGCAAGACAGCGAATAACTCTCTTGGCAGGAATGACCTAATTTGGTCATTGGTTCAACACGGGTTGAACGATAGCAAGTGAAAACCGAGCGTTCAGCCAGAGGCTTGAACCATCAACTCACACACATCGGCCGATATACTGAGTGAACATAGTACCCACGTCGAACCGCCCGACTACTCTATAATATTAACTGAATACATCTAATACCAAAGCCAATTGAGGATGGTTGGCACAAATTCAAAATGAATTCTCAATATATAGAAATGAAATAAAAAATTGTTCTTGGTTTACAGTAAAAATCACAGTTTAATCAAACAAAACAAAACACAAACGTAACTATGTCAAGTACATTACAGAATTGTAACAAAGTCCCAAATGTTACATCAATGTGCAAACAAACCCTAAGAGTCAAGTTATCACTTCATGGCCTGCTTGACTTGATATTGGCCATCCTGCTTGCCGCAATTTTATCTCCTGGAAAGAGGGCTTGTTGATAGAGCCTTTTCAAGCGATTTCTCTCTCGTATCAAGGCTTTGATACGAGGAGGAAACTCATTGTAGCTCTTCAGCGGACACTCCTCCCTGGAGGTGGCCGCTCGAAACGCGTCATCCACAGAAAGCTCGAAACACTCAACATCCGCGTCGAGTTCGTCGGGAGAGCGAAGTGTCTTAGGAGGGGCGCGCATCTCTCCGAGCTGGGTTGTGAAAATATCCCAGTTCGCCTTATATCTCATGCGGTAATCAGGAGAAGGAAGATCATCGCCCAATACCAGGATTACTGGATTATGATTGGAGTCCAGTTCCGACAGAACGTAGATTTCGCTAGTCAGAGAGACGTTTCTGAGAAGCGCGATGTCTAGTACACCAGGCCTAGTCTGCCCGGATAGTACGTAGGCTCATCTGGTCCCAGCACAAGATATTCGTGCCTGTCAACATGCGCATGGAGAGCTTAGCCGTTTCGATTTGTGGCTCTGCTCCATGGTCTGCGCTTGGCATTAAAGTCGGCAGCAGCAATGGGGAATGTTCCTCAATTTGGGTTATTACAGCAAATGCAAGTTTGAACAAAATAAAGTTGAGTTTAATTCATGAGTTTTTCAAATTCACTTTGAAAAGTATTCAAATTGATGTTTCAAATGTTGGATTTTAATTTTTGAAGGGATTTGTTTCTAATTCACATATTGGCAACAGCGCCTATATCAAGTTGAAATAATTTATACGTACCTAGATATTCTACTTTAAAAAAGGAAAACTATCTTTATAAATCAACAATTAAGATAAAATATAAATTATACTTCAATACCACCTCCACAAGCCACATAAACAACAGTTGTTTTGTTATTTATTTATATAGAGGAAGATAGGTTAGGTGCATAAAATGTCATATGCCACAGAATGTCTCGGAACTCGGAACATAAGTAAACAGAACAGCACACCTCTGAAATATGTTATCTTTCATTGTCCTTTATTAGCTATAACCAATGTTGCCAAACGGTGAAATAAAAACGAATCCCTTTAAATGTTGAATGCATTATTTCATTACTCTTTCTTAAGTATTTAAATAATTTTTTAAAGAAAAAGGTTGAAATAATAAGTTTAAAATGCGTTGTTTTAGAGCTCTTTTATGAAAACCCGTTGATTAACGGGTGTGAAATTATCCACAAAGTACACTGAGAAAAAATATCGCATTATTATTTTTTCATTTACCGACTCTGCACACCTACTATTTTTCAATATGATACGCTTATTGACTGAATTAGTAAAAAAACAGAGCCGTCCTAGTTTATTGAACTGTCTGAAGGGGTGAAAATATTTTTAAAAATCGTAACATGAAAACTCGACTTTGTACACCTACAAAATTGAGATATGTTATTCCTGATGATCTATTCGACAGAAAAAAACTTCATGTCATTGTTTTCCAGGCTGCAGGATATTAGTGTGAATCATCCTGTGAGTTGAGAATTAATAGTTTTAGTTTTTATATACTGATGGTGTTTTTTATGAACAGATAGCTCGAAGAGCAACGTATTGTTTTATGTATGGTAGTTGGAAAATATACGTAAAAGTGAAACCATTGTGTATTATTTGTAGTAATGAAATCACCCTCAAATTAGGGAAGAATACATCACAAGTTGCGACGAGTTAATTTCAAGTGTCAAGTAGTTGATGTTTCCACATTGCTGAGATTTTGTAGAAATCAAAATGGCAGTAAAACAATTAGCCGGTCATATTCAGGAATTCGATTCTATGTGTTCCGACTGGTCGGTGTATAAAAAACGTCTGGGAAATTATTTCACGGTAAACAGCATTGACGGTGAAAGTAGGAAACGAGCAATACTGTTGAGTTTATTGAATGAACCTGCGTATAAATTAGTGAGTAATATGTGTATACCAAATGAACCGGAAACAGTTGAATATGGGGATATAATTTCCTCAATGGATGAACATTTCAAACCAATAAAATTAGTGTTTTTCAACCGAGAAAAATTTTTTAAATCAAGAAAAATGGCCAATGAAAGTCTGAAAGACTGGGCAGCACGGTTACGCAGTTTGGTGGCCGTTTGTCAGTTTGATGGTTCTTCCGAGATTGAAAAAGCATTAGTCAATCAATTCATTATCGGTTATGACAAGGGAGCAGTTAAAGACCGACTTAATGCATCCTCCAAATCGGCCAACCGCTCCTTTCTTTCAGCCGAAGTTAAGCAAGAACCAAGGATTCATTTCGCCGGCACNGTATGGAAATGGACAAATTCTTGTCAAAAAGCGTTTGAGGAAGTAAAAGAAAAATTAATTTCTCCTCCTGTTTTAGTTCATTTTCACCCAGAACTACCTATAAAGTTAGTTATTGATGCTTGTGATTACGGAATTGGAGCGTTAATATCTCATACATTGCCTAATGGGTTATATCTTATGCTTCCCGTACTCTTTTAGAGAGAAAAAATTTTGTATTTTAGAGAAAGCAGCTCTAGCAGTTATTTTCGATTTGAACAAATTTCATTATTACTTGTTCGAAAGAAAATGTATATTGGTAACCGATTGGTAACCGTGTTAATATTTCATTTTTTTGTTTTTTTGGTTGTTATTTGTATTTTATTTCATGGTAATTTCAATTTTTTTGCTCAATACAATTGTTATTTTTCTTCAGCAAACTTTTTTATTTTTAATTTTTTACAGTTTCTATTTTTACTTTTTACTATTCTTTGAATAAAACAAATTGTGTGTGACATATCATCAAAATTTTTTATTCGTTTTAAATACCTATAAGAAAAGCAGATATATTAATCGTATAAATATATGACCCAAAGGTACATCAATTCACAATTGAACTAAACGAATAAATCATCACCTGTTTTCCGATCTGGATATAAGCAACTAAAATTAATAACAATGTTCTCGCCAAGCCCGCTTGAGTTGACTAATTTCCATCCAATCTCTCGGGCCCCGCGTTTTTAAGGTACTGCGTTCTTTTTTCCACCCATGTCGATAGTGGTTTCTTACATACCCATTAATGCCATAATGTGTAGAATATAATATCGTTGAAATATCCGCCACGGCTTCTCTGGGTGGAGCGCATACGGGACGTCCAATTTTCCATGACTGTAGTAATCAGGCTGAATTTTACCCATGGTATGGGTTATGTTGGCTCTAAGGACCGCTGTGGTTTGTGTTCTATTCGCATACACCTGCGGATAGAGGAAACCACATAAGAAAAGTCAAACGAGGTCAAATCGTATGAACTCGGTGGCCAGTTCACATCACCTCCATGTGAGATGACCATGCCCTCAAATCGCTCTTGCAAAATATCCAATGTGGCATGAGCTGTATGGCACGTAGCGCAGTCTACATGTCGTTGATGTCCAGATCCTTCATTTGGTAATCAGCGACCTATAGTGTTCGCCGTTGACAGTGATGGTCTGGCCAAGGTCATTCTCAAGGAAATATAGACCGATGACGCCGCCAGTATAAAATTCACCATAACAAAATATAAGTTATACTCGTATTATTTTTCGTAAAATATAAATACTAAAAGGATTGTGAATCGTTGAAGAAGGGAACCTCATCAGCTTTCTGTAGTATGATGGGAGGGTGTTACAAACACAAAATTATACTGTAAGAAAAACTGTATTCATAAACTGTTTACAACTAATTAACGATTGATCTGTCCTGTTTGGACCAACGTGTCAGCAATGCTGCTCCAAAGCAAACAATTTTTGTACGAAAATGACAGATGAAAATGTATGATTTTCGCCATAATTGTATAGCATCAATGGTCGCCAACACTGTCATCAGAATAATTGACAAGTAACAGCTTCCCGCATGATGCAAAAATGGAATAAAGCGATTAGCGCATGCGCAGACACTCCATCGTATGTTGAAATGTGAATATTTTGAAGTGGTTTTTGCAAATATATTGATTTAATTACTATTTGCATTAATAATAACTGAAAATTATGCTTTCATTAATCTAGCTTTAGCTTATATTATGTATCAAATCAAATTACAACACAAAGTTTCCTAATACAAAAATCAAGCGGGGTGAGGTAAACTACCAATTACCATCCATGAATATTTATTCAAAATTCGTCTTTTCTCTTTTTTTACTGTGGATTTATTATTCTTTTAGCGTCAGCGGTTTTCGATAGATTTGACATTTGACTGATCTGAAAATTAAGTGCTCTGTGATCGTGATCTATGAGTTCTATGACAGACGGACACGCGGGACACTCCTATCATAATGAGACGGAAGACGGAGATAGACAGATTACTCGACTATCGAAGGATTAAGTGATTGAAATTTGTAAATATATCAT